TAGCCTCCAGGGTGTCCTAAATTCTTGATTATCATCATGCCTTTGCCTTCCACTCTGTAAGATTACAAGAAGGAGATTTCAGGCATCGTAGCCTGACCCTTAAAGATCAAAGGCAACTTCCCATAGAAGCCACATGAAGTGAGGAAGAACTTAGGACTCCCAGTCACCCTCTTCAGGGCACACCCTGCCCCAATCAGCCACCCATGTGGCTTGGCCTGCTCTTACCCTCTTTCATCAGCTTACCCTCAGGTGAAATGCATCCTGGGAACTGTGAGAGATAAGTGAGAAAGACACGTGAAGCAAGGGCATGTGTGTCACATGGCAGTTCAGGAAGCCCATTCCTTCTCCCGTCTGCCACCCCTGCCGTGGCACCTGCCTTGGGGCCAGTGTCGACAGTCTGCAGTGACATCATGTTCATGGGTGCGCCATGTTTCTGGCCTCCAAGTCACCACCTTTCTCCTCTCTCAATTCCTACCCTGTCTCTACTCTAACCAAGGGAACAAAGGCTCGGGAAACCGTGAAGCCATCTGTCCCCTTCTTTGAAGAGGTTTCTATTTCTCATGCGCATCTGTATTTGTGGCATCTATATACAAGGGACAGACATCTGGACCAGCTTTGCAGAGCTTGCACTTCAAGGCAGAGAGTTATACAGCAGTTAAATACCATGAACAGAAGACTACATTTTAAGAAACGGGAGGTGAGAACACCAGACAATGCAATGAAAAATGACAGAGTGATGGGTAAGAGTAGGGATGTGCATCCCATCTGAGCTCATCGGGAAGCTCCTGTGCATCCTAACTCAGCTTGTGGGGGGGGGGGCTCCTGTTGAGCAGATGGGGGTCAGGGGAAGTCATCTTAGTCGGCGTCCTACTGCTGTGAAGAGACACCATGACCACAGCAACTCTTAGAACGGAAAGCATTTCATCAGGGCTTGCTTATAGGTCAGAGGTTTAGTCCATTATCATCACGATGGGAAGCACAGTGAGTGAACCCATGATATTGGAGAAGAGTTAAGAGTTCTCCGGGCAACAGGAAGGAAGAGTGAGACCCTGAGCCTGTCTTGAGCATCTGAAAACCTCAAAGCCCACCCCCAATTACCCACTTCCTCCAACAAGACCACACCTACTCCAACAAGGCCACACTTCCTAATAGTGCCACTCGTCATGAGCCTGCGAGGGCCATTTTCATTCAAATCACTATAGAAGGACAGCAGACAGCCCAGAACTGAGTCTTAAAGATAAATAAATGGCAAGCTCCCAGACAGAAGGTCTCCCCAGCTGCTAAATGGGAGAGCCAAAGGGTGGGCAGGGCACTATGGGTACGCAGAAGGTGGTGCCCCGACCCCAGAGCCAGGAAGGAGTGAGGGACAAAGAAGTTAGGGTGGGGGCTGGTTTCCAGGCTTCTAAGCTGGGAGAAGGAAAATGAGGAAGAGGATTCCTGAGGAGAGAGCGCTAGAGGCTGCAGGAGCAGGTGCCATGGGAGGGGCCTGGCCTGAGGATCCTAGCACCGCCTTTTAAGAGCCAGGAAGAGGACTATGGGTCTCTCAGAGGTCAAGTGCTTGCCTAGCATGCACAAGTCCCTGGGTTCCATCCTCAGCACTGCAAAAACAAACAGGCAGGAAAAAAAAAAAAATCTTTCTGAGACTGGTCTGGAACAGGTCCAGCCCTGCAGCTGTCAGCTTGGAGCTCACCGGGAGTTTTCAGCTTCCCACCCACAGAGCTTAGCTTCCGGTTCTGGAAAGCTGACCTTACAAAGGGCAGATGCTTGCCACAGCTAACCCAGGATGTCAGTGTGGTCCAGCTGCAGAGCACTCTCTTGACATCTCTAATGCTAGCCCAGCCTGACACCTACAGCCCAGGCTGCAAACGCTTGGGGGAGATGCCTGCAATGGGAAAACAAACTGCCTTGCCTGTAGGAGAAACTAGAGGAGAGCAGAGACGTACGGAGCCTGCTGCTGTCTTTTTCCAGACCCTTTCCTCCATCTGCCTTGTATTCCACCCCACTGTCAGGCACTGGGTTTCCTTCTGAGCATCCCCTCTCAGCCGCACGCTGGCTCTGAGAAAGCGTATTCCCAATGCTAGATCTGCCACAGATGCCTACAACAACCTTTGGAGGCTCACTGTTCTGTGCCTCGTTGTCCTTTCTTGTGAACAAGGTAATACCGCCTACCTAGAAAGAAGTCTTGGGGACAGGGAAACGAATCTATAACTGCGACTGTCAGTACATCGTACACGTAAGACATTCATGTAGACTGAGAAGAGTATGGGGAAGTCCAGTGCGCTTCGGTCCCAGCCCCCTCTCTGCCCTGCCTGGGCACCTGTGGGACCCAGGGTGATGTGTCTATCCCCTCCCTCATCAGTGGCGTGTCTGGGACAGATACCCACCACAACTGCCTCTGAACATGGGTGTTCACTTACACTCTCAAAACGTCTGAGTGGAAGACAGATCACTCGGTCTTTCTGCCATCAGATGATCACGGCAGCGCCACCCTCAAGGGCTTGGATGAGAACAATCATAGGAGTGTGCCTCCATACCATCAGGCAGCCTCTGGGGATCTTCACACACATGCTGCCCTTATGGGCAGAGAGAGGTCTGACTCATAAGACAGGTCAGGCATGCAGATACTAGAGCCGTTGAAAAACAACAGCATGCTAGAGAATCTGAAGGAGTCCATTCTCCAGCTAGTTAGTGTCAGCTCTACAACTAACCAGTTGAGCCTCTGCCCCAGCCAGGTCCCAGACACACTCCTCACCACATGAACTGCCTGCCCACTTGGTTATCTGTCTGCTCTGGTTTTCCTGGAGTAGACTAATTAAGCATTTTGGGATTAGTCACAGCTGAAGAGCTTTCCTCTCTAGGCTTTAGAGGTTGATTAAGCCGATATCCCACCAGGGTGACCGGACCTGCTTGGTTGACCCTAGGCAGGTCCCTGATACTCTTCTGTAAAGCTGGGACAGTGTGTGTCATAGCTCATAAACCTTTGTCTCCGTGTTATCTGGAAGAGAACCCCAGCCCAGCCATGATGGGAGCTTTTTCTGATACACTTTGTTTCTTGCCTGACTCTGTCTTTAATTAGAGCAGGTGGGGCCAGTTTGAACTCCCATGCATTTCTCTGTAGACTTCAACAGCTTCCTCTGACAGGAGGTTATGAAGGGCATTGTCCCAGCCTGAGCATCACTTTGGAGTGATGAACAGAGAACTCCACGAGAACAAACACATGGCAGTTGGCAGTGGGGAGGGGAACGCTGTTTACCTGCATGGCTGACCTGTGAAAATCCAAGTTAGTATTGCTCTACCTCAGTGATGACATGGGGAGCCATGAAACATTTATTAATATTTGCGCCCCTGTAGCAGACTTTCTTCTGGATCACCTACCAGCTCCCAAATCATGACATGGAGACTCGTTACTAATTATGAATGCTCAGCTTTATCTTACCCTTGTCCCATTAGCTCTTATAACTTACTCTAACCTGTTTCTCTTTATCTACATTTTGTCTCAGGGCTTTTTACCTTTCCTTCATTCTGTATGCTCTACTCCATGTTTGACTGGCCCTAGGCGTCTTGTCTCTCTCTTTCTCCCTCATTCTCTTCTCTCTTCCCTCTCTCTCCCTACCTCTCTCTCTCTCTCTCTCTCTCTCTCTCTCTCTCTCTCTCTCTCACACACACACACACACACACACACACAGACACACGATTCCCCCTTATACTCTCTGCCCACCAGCCCCACCTAACCCTCTACTGCCTCATTGTTGGTCATTCAGCTTTTTATTAGCCCAATCAGATGCCTTAGGAAAGCAAGGTGAGACAGCAACACATCTTTCCGGAATTAAACAAACGCAGCATAAACAAATGTAATGCATCTTTACATAGTTAAAGTAATATCCCACAACACACTCCCACCCCACACATGCGCCAGAGCTCTCAACTACCTCCTGCCTCCCGCCGATGCCCCTGCCAGGCCTCCTCTCCCTCCAACTGACCCTGCATCCCAACAGCCCTTCAACATGGGTCTGTGTGGGCCACCTGCCTGGCTAAAGGATCATGGGCTATTGTCAGAATCCTTCATCCTTCTGATGATGAATCACTGGAAGATCATTTTGGCTCACAGTTTCAGAGGTTTGGGTCTACAAGTTGCAGTAGATCTTCTAGGCCTGATATAGGGTGTAGCACCATGAAGGATTGATTGATGGGCAGAGCCGCTCACTCTGTGACAGACAGGAAGCAGGGAGAGAGAGAGAGAGGAAGTGGCCAGCAATAATGCCTATCTTTCTAGGTCATGCCTCTGGTGAAGGCAGAAGACTATAGTGAGAGGATTGATAGAGCAGAGAGGCTTGCTTCAGAACAGACAAGAGGAGGGGGGGAGGGGCAGCAATGCCATGTATCTTTTCAGGACATGCCTCCCCTTCCTCTAACACCATCAAGCCATCAAGGAATTCACCTATTGATTAAACCGGAGTCTTCACGAACCAGTCACATCTCACGGTTGCACCCACCAGCTAGGGGCCAAACCTTCAACTGTGAGCCTTTTGGGTGACAGTTCATATCTAAACCATAAGTGCTCTAGTCCAAAGACTGAGTCCCAAGTCAGGCAACGCAAATGCTGCAAGCACTTGTAAGGTGGCGAGGCTGAGCGATGAGCACTAAACGCGCTGTAGCTCTAGCGAGGTTCATAGGAGCATGCCCCTACTGTGAATGGAGCTGCCTCGGTATGTCATCAGTGTCTGCTGGCTTTTACGTCACTCGCGTCCATGCGGTCCAAGGTTTGTGCTGGATCTCGGCTGCGCCTCCGGTGCTCCTTCAATTGGTCAGAGACATGTTTGTGTCTCTGGAGCCCAGGGCTGCGGGCTGCTGAAGACTCCAACCCTCCCTCGTGCAGATACAGCTGCTCCTGCCAAGATGGCATCCTCACTTCATGGCGGTCCAGCATCTGGCTATGGAAGCGGTGTGGTGGGTGAGGGTCTACTTAGGGGTTCATTCCTGTCCTGACTCTCCCCTCACAGGTGGGATTCCATTCATCCTGACCGGAGAGTTCTTCCAGCAGTCAGAGCGGCCGGCGGCCTTCATTATTGCAGGCACAGTGAACTGGCTCTCCAACTTCACTGTGGGCCTCCTTTTCCCCTTCATCCAGGTATGCCCGACAAGGGGGTCTCCTGCCATCACATTACAGATAGGAGTTGATGCACAGAAAAGTCAAGTCACTTCCTGGGGGTTGCCCAGCTAACAAGTGCTAGAGAGGAGCCAAGCTTACATGCTCCAGGATATTTATTCTCAACCACTGTAGCACAAGGCCCTAAATCTCAGGCAGTGACACCCATGCAGAGGGCAAAAATGATGTCGTGGGCTCTAAATGATTTTTAGATTGATTCTTATAAAATCCTTGGAGCTCATTGTTGTGGCTAAGATAGCTGGTGGCAGCCATTCCTGACATTAGAATATGCTCGGTGAATGCAGGACAGGCCTACATCAGTCCTGCATGGCCTGGGCTCCTGCCAGCAACACATATCAGAGAGCTGTGTGGTTCCTAGGGTGCTAATTTAGAAGACCAAGCATCTTGTATTTGTTTATTTGTGTGTGCCTTGGATCTGGTATCATCTGCATGCTTCAGGGCAGGGTGGAGCCAGTCGTGGGTGGGGGGAGGGGGTATTTAATGAGTGGGGGAACTGAGGATGAGCACTTAGAAATACAGGCAGAGAGAGCCTGGGCCAGCAATGCTGCTCTCAGGCAGTGTGTCCCAGGGGCAGGTTCCCCACAGGCTTCAGACCTCACTGTGTGTCAAGAACAATCTGAGGTGCAGTGCTGGAAAGCATCCTTAGACAGGGGATAAGGCTCGGTGGGTAAAGTGCTTGCTGCGCAAGAAAGAGGGCCTGAGTTCAAATCCCCAGCACTCATGCAAAAGATCTGGATGCAGAGGCTCATACCCAAAGTCCCAGTGCTGGGGAGGTGGAAATGGGGAGCTCCTTGAGGCTTGCTGGCCAATTAGTCTAGCCGAATCAGTACATTCCAGGTCGAGTGAGACCTGTTTTAAAATATAGCATGCAGACTGACTAAAGAGGACGTTCATCACAGATGCACACACACATAGATGCGCACACACAAACACAGGAATAATAATGAAAGAAACACTAAAGCAAATAAAATTTAGGAAGCACCCTCACATTTGACAAGCCACAGCTTGAGCCAGGCCATGGGCGGAAGTGGGTGCAGGCTGACAGACAACCTTAGGGAATGATAACATGGGCTCTGAGGGCTCCAGGTGGCAGTGCAGATCACAGACCCGGAGGATGGTGTGTATGTGCGTTCCCGAGGCTGCTGTGATAACAGCACATACTTGACGCTGTGTTGTAATGGGTCGCGTCTCCTCCAAGCCTCATGCTGAAGTTTGGTCCCCGGTTGTGCTGGTCAGACCCTTTGTCACAGTGAAAAGTGCCTGAGAGGAAGTGGCGGTCTCTTTCGTCTCACAGTTCACCCTGCCTATCCACCGCCAGCTTGCTCTATTGCTGCCATCAGAGAATCGTGGCTCTGAAGACTTGGGGTGAGGTAAAGTAGTTCCCACAGTTGTGTACAGGGAGCACAGAAGAGACAGGAAAGAGCTGAGGACAAAATACTTAATTCTAGGGCTCACTCGCTGCCTCTAACTCAGCCCTGTGTTCCACACTTCCATCACCTCCAACTGTTCATTCAAATGATGACTCCACCAGAGAACAAATTCCCTGAAGAAGGCTGAGCCCTTGTGGTCCAACGACTCCCCAAAGGGCCTTAGAATGCTGTCACACAGGGGACATGGCCCTCAACACATGGGCCTTCTGAGGGGAGACCTCATCTCCAAACAAGATTATAAAACAGTGTTGAAGCCTTTCATGGGGTTCGGAAGGCTCCAGATTCATGAAGATGTCAATGCTGTTTTCAGGGGCGTCATCTCAGAGCAGGACATTCTAGCTGTGAGCTCAGCTCCCCTCTTCCCCCATCCTGATTTCCTACGGCACTCATCCCATGCAGTGTGTATCTCCTCCTCTCCCATGTAAGGACAATGGCATTCAGAGCCCACCTAGGTGGTCCAGGGCTCCCCTTTCATAACTAGAACTTCATCACATGCACCCTCATGTTTTTAAAGGGCAAGCAGCATTTACAGCACAGGCCTGGATCTTTGAAGACCATTATGCAGCTGTTCATAGAAGTGAGGTGGGTTTTAGGAGCAGGGGCAGGCATGTGATTGGAAACTCCTCCCTGGATTAGCACACATAGGACCTGGAACCCCAAGGAGATGTCATGTGAGTCCAGTTCTGGGTGACCGGGTACCTGGCCAATCATCACCCAGGATGTGACTAGAATGGACTTGCTAGTTGTGGGAGACACACCTTCTAACTCAGCACCCAATAATAGCCACTGCACGCATATCCTCACAGTCACCCCCTGTCCTCGGTGCATTATGGACAGATCCTGCTGTGCCTTACCTTACATGTCCTACCGAGGAGTCCTTATTTGCTCCAGTAGACCACAGAGATTCAATCCTGAAGGTCATGAGATTGGTCTAGGAGTTTAGGGCGTCTGCTGGATGCTGGAGAAGTGCCTGTCACGTTGTTCTGGTGCAATGTGGAGGGGGTGGGATTATCAGCATGTGTCGCAACAGTGCAAATGATCTGAGCATGTCACCAAGCCTGGGCGCCCGCCGACATCTGGTAACCCATGAAGGATGGAAATCAGTGAGGACACTCAGAAAAGCGTATGGGTGTTTCTGGAAGACCTCCTTTCAGATACTCAGAGGCTGGGTTAGAGTGAGCAGGAAGGCATGGTAGCTGGTAGTCTGTGGTTTACCAGAGATCCTACGTTAGTTGCAGTTTCCCAATCAGTCTGGTCCCACAGCCACATCAGCCCCAGGTAACACACAGAGCCGCTGCAATAGATATAAAGCTGTTGGCCTGTTACTAGTGTTTCTTACTGGCTAGCTCTGTCTTAAATACTAACCAATTTATATTAATCTAAGTGTTTCCACGTGGTCTTATCTTACCGGAGAGAGGGTCCAGAGTTCTTCTCTCAAGTCCCTACATCTTGACTCCTCTCCTACCTCTCCCAGAATCCTCCTTGTCTCCTAGCCCTGCCTTCCTATTTGCCAACAGCGCTTTATTCATTAACCAATACGAAACATATTTACAGAACGACACCTCCCATCACCTGTGCTAAAGTCTGGGGCAAGTAGGGAGGGTTGGAAAGTGCCTGCAAGGACAAGGTGAGGGGCATGAAGCTGCACCTGCATGGAGATGCTCTTCCCTGGCTGAGCACACAGCCAGGCTGGCAACAGGCACTTTGTTTCCAGGCAGCTACCCTCCCTCCCTACACACACACACACACACACACACACACACACACACACACACGCACTGCCCTAGCTCTCCTCTTGCTTCTGCAAAAACAATCTACTGTTGACCTGCAGCAGCCTTTTCTTCCGTGTGGTGGTGGGGCACAGGGCCTTGAACTGGTCCAGTGGAAAGATTTGCATAATTGAAATGAGGCATCATCAAAGCAGCAAAGGCCTTATCTGTAAGACAGTGGCTCCATCTGGTCACTTCTGAACAGACCTCCCTCCCTGCAGAAGCTTTGCCTTCAGATTCAGCTGCTTCTCAGCCCCTTCTCCATCACCCCAGTTAGCAGAAGTGCTACCTCCTGATCTGCTTGTTTCCCACAGGACAGACATGGTTGTGACATGGGCTCTAGCTGGTGTCCTTTTGTTACAGTTATAGGAATAAAGCTGGAGAAGAGGGGGGGTGTGGTCCCGAGTGGGGGTCCCAAGGTAAGAGACCACCACGTGGGAGAGCATAGCAGGTTCCATAGCAGGTGAGGGTGACCGAGGCGGCGAGGCGGAGGGAATAACACGCCAGGCAGACAGAGCTTAAATGAGGAGTTTATTTAGAGAGGGGAGTGAGGGGGAAGAGAGACACTGAGAACAGAAAAGAAGGGGAGAGAGAAAGAGGTGAGGAGAAGAGCAGGAGCAAAAGAGAGCGTAAGTGGGCAGGGGTCTGACTTTTAAAGGGGTCCTTTTCACCTGCCTGCAGACTAGTACTCATGGAACCCTGGGCTGACCAGAGTACTGCCTGAGTGCATTCTGCCAGGTGACAGGGGCGGGCCAGCGTAATGCCTGAATCCTTACGTTCCTACCTTTACTTATTATTAAAAAGCTGAGGAGTTAGGCGTGGCAGGTTAGGGAATAAGGGTGTCAAGTTCTCAAGACTGCTTCCTGCTGACCTGGGGACATTGATCATCTTTGGGGACCTGAGAAAGCTGGGTGCTGCCACGTCCTGGGGCAGCTGATTGTTTCATCAAAGTTCTGACAGTATGGAACTCTGGCATCTCTTTGAGACCTGGCAAGTGTTGGCAGAGCAGAGGACAAGGTTAAGTTTAGAAAAAAAAATTTTTTTTCTTAGGTCCTGGTACTTGAGGGGAGAATTGTAAGATGAGGGAGGGTTCCTGAGGTGTGGGGAGGGAGTCCTGGGACCAGGGAAAGGTTGAATATTTATTTGGAATGAATCTGACCCGTTTGGATGCGTTCAGTTTGGCTCCCTGGAGCTTACAAGAATCCTTTGAGTTTGTGAAAACATAAATATTAGGCACATTAGCAGCATACTCGTGTTAGAAATGATTTGGCTGAAAGAATTAACACATACAACTGACAGATCTTTAGCACAATGAAAAGCACCTAAATTTTGAGCTTGTAGTTACAGTTATGATGGTATAATGGCATAGTATGGTGTTTAGTACTCTGTCAGAATTGATTAGTAGCTCATTAAAACTTTATTGATTGATGTTAAGACTATGAACAGTAACATAATGAGAGAGAGAGAGAAATCTGGAACATGTTCCATTCATTTGAATGTCTCAAGTCTCTCATCACTTTTTCTGTCATCACTTAAGCCTTTTTCTCTCAGACCTTCAAAACTTGAATTCATATACCTTACTTAATCACCTTAGACCTTCATAACTTGCATTCTTAGACCTTCATACGCCTTACACTTTCCTATCTTCACAAAGATAAACTTTAAAATATCCATTCCTCAAATATGTTTTGTAACAGTTGGAGCTTTGGATGCTGCTTTAAGCTGGCAAAGCTACCAGTTGTCAATAGCATCAGAGTTCTTGAGAAGGATAGAATTTTATCTGAATTAATGATTAGAGAGTAACAGAGACTTACTAGCTAGCAGAATGGACAGTTGTTGAGGTCAGAGGCTTTAAGGACATCTGCTTTCTGGTGATGGCATGAGACCTGTGGATTAGGAGCTTTTGGAAGACTTACCTACCATTGGCCCAAGCAATGTGGAGAAAGTCGATTCCACTGCCCTCTTGTCCATGGTCCTTATGCAGCAGTTGAGATGAAAGGTAGAATTTCCCAGTGGCTAGCATTGCCTTTCACTAGTAACACAGAGGTTTCAAAATGATCAAATCCCCTCTTTCTTCCTACATATAGTGAGGGTATTTTCTAGGTCACATAGGTTGTGCCAAACTTGGAAACTTATAATCCTACAAGTAAGAAATGGAGACACAGGCACCAGCTAAGGCTATACAGAGAGTTCAAGGCCAGCCTGGACTACACACACACACACACACACACACACACACACACACACACACACACGAAAGAAAACCCCTTGGATGGTGTAGATACAAACATAAATATGAGTGGATGGATAGAGAAAGAGAGATAGACAGATAGAGATAAATCATAGGTATATAAAAAGATGACATGCTCATAGTCAGATAACAAGTTGATTTTGGTTTATTTATCAAAGACATACATGTAACTTTCCCCAGTGTTAGAATACTGTAGGATAAAAGAAATTAGAACAGTGATAAAGACTAAAGATGAGAGAAACAAATAAATACAAACAAGAAGGGTTCAGCGTGGACCAGAAGTGTTAGTATGTCAAGAAATGGCATGTATTGCAGGCTGAGAGGATGGCTCAGTGGGTAAAGCACTTGCCACACAGCATAAGGACACCTAAATTGAGATCCTCAGATCTCCAATATCCATGTAAAGATGAACACCATAGTTAACTGTAGTAATCTCAACACTCCCACAGTGCGATGGGAGGGCAGGCTCAAGTGAATCCCTGGAAGCTAGTGGGCTAGACAACCTGCTCTGCACATGTACACTTCAGCAAACAGCAAAACATTGTCTCAAACCTGTGTATGTGTGCATGTGCACACACAAATCAAAAGAAATACGGTTAGTTCAGTCCTATCTACTTGAGGTTGGAGTGGAGTCAGAGACTGCAAAAGAGAACACTTATACATCACCCGCAACCTGAGCATCACTGCTGATGGCCAGAGAGCCAGAAAGCGAAGGTGCCGATACCACCCAGCCCTGTGCCCAAGAGTCCCACATACCAGGGACACTGCCTTGAGCACACCAGCATTTATTGGCTGTCCTTTCGCAGGAGTCCTCAGCCAATGTGTTGTGTAGGCTATCTCGTGAAACCTAACACAGCCCTTCAGGGTGTGAGTGGTTCCTGAAGACACTAGACCAGAGGGAATGAGCACCGATTGACATTTATTTCCTCCTCCTGCTTCTGTTCCTCCTCCTCTTCCTTTCTTCCTGTGAACCTCTTAGGGAATTCAAATTATAAATGATTCAGCTTTGCTGTGGAAACTATGAAAATATAATGAACAGAAATGACCTGCACTAATGGCTTCCTTCCTTCCAAATATAAAGTGGGCTCTGAATATGTGCAGGTGTGTACGTGTGTGTGTGTGTGTGTGTGTGTGTGTGTGTGTCTGTCTGTCTGTCTGTGTCTGCGCGTCTATGTGTATCTGTATGTGAGTATATCTGTGTGTATGTGTGTATACCTGTGAGTATATGTATGTGTGTGTGTCTCTGTGTGTCTGTGTATGTGTGTGTGTTTCTGTGTGTATGTGTATATGTCTCTGGGTGTATGCACATGTGTCTCTGTGTGTGTATCTGTATGTATTTGAATGTATGTCTGTATGTGTGTGTATTTGTGTATGTGTTTGGTGTGTATGTGTGTGTGTGCGTGTATATGTTTTCTTGTTTGGAAACCACTGAGGGGGTTGGAAGCCCATGTAGCTTGACATCATGGTGCGTCTCTCTAATACCCGGAAAGATGGTTCTCAAGTGATGGCACATTCGCAGGGATCAGGGCCTAGGACTTCAGTGTGCCTTTGGGAGAAGAAGTTCTCTGTGCAACACCTGTGCTTTCTATGTTTGCTCAAAAGGCTCCCACACAGCCCAAACCTTAAAACATTGGTCAACCCCAAGCAATCTGTGACAGTCATCAGTCACCACCCCCACCCCCATTGTGTCTCAAACAATCTGTACCTCAGACTCCCAGCATAAGGCGGTGCCCACAGCACTGTATTTGTTGGTGGTTGCTGTTCTTACTTTTATTTGCCAGGCAGTGTGTTAGCAAAGCCTTCTTGATTAATTGAGCAGACTCTAGGGCCAAACCAGGTGACCTTGAATTCTAGCTATGCCACTCAGCATTGAGATGGGGGGGGGCAGAGTAATCTTAACTTCCCCTGATGACTGTCATTGTCTTGTCTTTGAAGCAAGAGTGGAGCCTCTGTTTTGCAGCAGGGCTCCTAAGAGACACCCTGCATGGTGTCTACAAAGCTTGCTGTTTTCATTATAACTACTGAAAAATTGTTGTCTGTCCTGATATCCTAGATAGAGAGACTGAGCGGAGGGGGGGGGGGAAGAGGAGGGAGAGAAGAAGAGATGAGAGGGAAATTACCAACACTTCCAGGACATTAGCCCCAAGACACAGAAAACACCAGAATCTTCTAGAAAGAATAGTCTATGTCAGATGCTGTGCTGACTTCTTAAGACTCTGAAGAGTGACATGTGTCCCCAGGATGCAGCTGAGAGCCACTAGCACACACGCAGCAGAACATGCTTTCACAGGTGTTTTTGCTGTCATGGAAGACAGGATTGAACTCAGTGTGAAGGATGCATAGGCACTTCCTAAGTATGGACACATATTTCTGGCCTCTTCTCTGCAAATGTGTAGTCTATCTTGGCAGAAACCAGTCATTCCAACTCAGAGCACCTTTGCTTCTGGTAAATAATTTGAATAGCTACTTCTATATCTAACCCAACATTTTATTAGGTCATAATTTTGTCACCTCCAGAGCATGCTGGGTTTTTGTAGCCATGTATTTAGATGATGTCATGCCCCTCCTCTGAGCCCATCCAACCACATACAAAGCCATCCATAGGTCACTCTGAGGGAGCTGGAGTATGAATTCCCAGGGTGTACTTCTCAGTCCTTGCTCTAGGAAGCAGTTACCTACCCCTCACAGTTCTGATTCAGAGCAGTGGGAACAAAAGCTGTGATTTTTTTTCCCCTTTAATCTCAAGAACCTTTTCCGAAGAGGAAATAAGAGTAGTATTTTGCCAAAATTGCCTTGTATTTTTAGCATAATTTAACATTCTACTGTGTTGTGAGGAGAAACTTTTTTCTCTGAAACAAAAATCTGGACCACTTTAATGGCCCTTTAATGACATAAAAGTTGTATCTTTCAGAAGCGATGTGACTGTGGTTAGCAGGATCCCTGGGAGCTGGAACAGGGATGCGAAGACGTCGGGTGATTGTGAGCCGAGTGTCCACCCTAAGTGAGGTTTCACCCCATCCATAGATTTCACGAGCTTGCGTCTTCACCCCATCCATAGATTTCACGAGCTTGCGTCTTCACCCCATCCATAGATTTCACGAGCTGTGTCTTAACTGAAAATGCTCAGCCCGGACTCTGCCCCTAGCCACCTCACCTGTAAGATCACACCACAGGTCTGAGGTGAATAGAGCTAGTCAGCTATCCCAGGATGGGAGCAATTGGAGAGCAGTTACTAATGTTAGCATTGACTTTCTCAGGCAAGCCAGGGTCCAGCAAGGGCCAAGGCAGCTTTGGAGAAGAACATGGTGCTGAGTTTCAATCCAGTCCTACCCCCTTCTAGCAGCATGAACTTGGCCAATCACATGAACTGACAGGAGTGAAGAAAATCTAAAGAGAGACACAGACACCCCACCCATTGGCACCACTGAAGCAATGTACTGCAAGGAATCTCATGATTCGGGGAGGGAGAGGTTCTGGTTCCAGGGGAGGAGATTGCAGTGAATTCTGGCAATTTACCAGACCAACTGGCAGGAGGAACTGAAGTCAAGGCAATGATGAATCAAGGATAGGCAGGGATCCACCTTGACCGGGACTGCCTAATTTTGCACACCTCTTACCTACCTCCTATTAAACCTAAACCTCATGTCAAGATCTCAGCAATTTCTTGTGGCTCCCTGGACATCATTATTTGTTCCTTTTCCCTACTTGGCCCCTTCAAGATATCTCCTCCCTCTGCTTTTAACTATCACTTGTCTCTTGAGTTGTATCTTGAGGATGGTAGTCAGAGCTTCCAGGGACCAAGCTCTGACCCTAAAGACTCCAGTGACAACCAGGCTCCAGCTTGATTTTTGTCAGGGCTCCAGAGGACCTAAACAGGCCAGTGAATGGCTCCAAAGATCTGGCTCTGTGGCCGGCAGAGTAAATCCTCATTTGCATAAGCTGCTCCTTCCTTCCTCTCCGTCCTAACCTGGCCTTGTAACGCCCTCCCTCTGCAGAGCCAGTGACTAGTACTGTGACTTCCAGGACAAGGGAGGAGAGGTGGTGAGGAAGCATGTCTGCCTTAGCTCTGCACCCCCTCTAAGACAGTACCCTCAGGGAGAAGGGCTACCCCACCCATATGCTGCTATTACAAAATGCCACAGGCAGAGTTACCTCTATGAGGCTGCAAGTCTGAGATCAAGGGATTGGTGGGTTTTGTAGAGGCTGGTCTCTGCTTCCAAGATGGCGCCCTCAGCTCATTAGCTGACTGTTTATTGACCGCTTTCGTCTCTACCTTTCCACAGAAAAGCCTCGACTCCTACTGCTTCCTCGTCTTTGCCACAGTGTGTATCGCAGGGGCTATCTACTTCTATTTTGTCCTCCCTGAGACCAAGAACAGAACCCATGCAGAGATCAGCCAGTCCTTCGCCAAGAGGAACAAGGCTCACCCCCCACAGGTGAAGACTGACTCGGCCATGGCAGACGAGAAGGCTAACGGCCAGCCTGAGACAGATCCGTCCTCCACACTGGACAGCCAAGGCCAAAACCAAACGTCTAAATGTGTGTTCTCAATGCAATAGCCCAAGGCCTTTCCAAAACTTAGAAGGTTTCAGGTGGTAGAAGCCATGTGAGACTCTCACGCTGGGATGTTAGGAAGAATCCTGTGTGAATCAGACCTCACAGCCATGTCTTCATAGCTATCCCTTCCAAATTCCCTGGGAAGCATTGCCTAGGTCTGGTACACTCAGCATCCCATACAGACCAAAGACGCCTTCTTCATGACTAAACCCATAGTTTTCAAATAAAGTTGGGGATCAGGTTGCCTACTCAAAGTAAAGCCTTCTGATCTGATGGACATTTGTTGTAAAGGGAATAGCAGTCTGGGTCCTGTCCCAGCTGTGCTGTTGCTAAGCAACAGTCCTTGGTTCCAGCCTCCAGGGACCTGGACCTTGGTCCTGCATGGAAGCTTTCTGACTTCCATGAGAAGATTCTTTGTCCACACTAACAAATGCCTGGTCAGCCTCTGCCCTGTGGACCTGAGGCTTAGGAATGCCTCACACCAACCCATCATGATGCTGATCCTACCAAGACAGGCTTTGTCCCCTGCGCTCAAGGCTGCCAGGTCTGAGACTGTCTTTAGGTCAGACTGTTACAGAGAGCACACAGAAGATCAATAAATAATATGAGAATGAACTTTCTGGCAACTAGAAGGCAGAGAGTGTGAGTTGAGCTCTGAACACTGAGAATGACTCTAAGACTAAACCTAGGTTTGATGGGAAGGAACACTGGGATTGATTGGTAATGCCTGACCTGGATGCAGGAATGACAGTCTCTGCTCCTGAGCCTCATGTTTGTAATGTGAAGGAGATTCATCTGCAGAGGTCACAAACTGCCTGGAAAGACACTCACCAACTCTCATAGTGCTCAGGTGAAGGCTGGGAGAATCACCTGCCTCAACAGTTGTTAAGGTAGTCAGAGTCTGTTCTAGAATAGGGTGATGAGTGAGTGTCTGGTTGGAGCAAGTTGCAACTTGCCATCATCATGTGTGGTTCATCATTTGACTGAGCCCCTTCTTCTGCCTCCAAAACAAACTACCTATGACAAATGTCATAACTATATGGCAGGCATTTAAACTGGCATTGGCGTGTTTAAGTTTAGGATATCTTAGAAGGTATGGTACCAGATGGGGAAGTCCCTAGATCTAGCAACATTGCTGTTTTCCTGACTGTTCCATACAAGGGTGACCTCAACCCAAACCTGAGTTCTGATTTTCACCTCCATGCTGAACATTCTTCGGGCAAGGAAACATCTGGCCCTGACCTCCACACTCATGTCTCACAGAGAAGATGGAATCATAGCACCAGGGGTAAGGTGCAAGGCCAGCAGTTCTGGGGGTCAGTGGTATGGGGACAGGCAGCCAGAAGAGTTGGGGTGGCAGCTGAGAAAGAGGGATGCCTTCCCAGACAAGGGACAGAGCAGAGCCAGGACCAGTGTGACCTTGAGGCCGAGGCCAGTGACTATTTTTTGCATGTTCTTATTTTTGAAATTGTAATGAAGCCACACTAAGGGCACTTTTTTGAAAAAAAATGAATCTCATAATAAAACTGATCATCTCACATGCTTTATCATTTTATTTGTTACACAGCCCTGTCCATTTCCTGCCTGTTATTAATCCACTTACAAACACAGAATATATAAAACATGATTACAATCATCTTTCTCTTATCTCCTATTTTTCCCACTTGATATTAAATCAAATACATCATCTCGACCCTGAAGGCTTTTGTTCATACTCTGGTACCCACTGCAGAGAATTCTTTACCATAGGAAGTTGTTTCTCAGATGCTGGAAGAAAACGGTGATCCAGGAGTCTCCTCTGCTACAGGGGCTGCAGTTTAAAGTTTTGCTGGGGGAGGGGGTTGTGGCCATTTGCACCAAACAGTACAGGGGATGTCTGTTATTCAATCATTCCCTCTGTGGCCATTTGCATGGTCCCCAAGAGATGGATCAGCCCTAACTTCTAATTCCCAAGCACTAAGGGTGACCTCACCCCATTAGGTCCATTTCATCTCTTCCCTTATCTCCAAACCATGGTGTAAGACCCTCAGAATGAGGAGTCTTCCAGTTTCGGTCGGTACCCCAAGAACTCAGTGCCCAGTCCAGTTGCTGCAAAACGCAAGAGGCTTTAATGAACAGAAAACGTTTGCGCAAACGGGCTCCTCCAGCACACAGGCTAGAGAGAAGCCCCCTCCCCCGGGCACAGGTGTTTTTAAAGGCAACCCCACAAGCTTAGGGAGGGGGTGGGACCCTCTGTCCACTGAGTATGTGACCCTTGGAGGCCGGATCAACAGACCTTAGGGCCTCAGGGTGTGCTAATTAATTTTGTCTGGGCAAACGGGAATTGCAGCTACCTCTTTGTTTCCTAAGGACCCTATTCACCACCTGCTGACTCACAGAGGCTTCTGGGGATATGAGAAGTCTTTGTCACATTTCTCCATGGACCCAACCCAGACTGGTCTTTGCTTAGATGGTGAGTCTTAGCTGTTTCTCCTCACAGACATTTCCAAGAATGTTTCCACTGCTAGGAATCCCAAGAATGCTGGCTTCAGATAGAGCACCTTTAGTCTCTGGTGTAGGAGGCACCAGAAACTCTTGTCTTATTGGAGAAACAAATGCACAAACATTGATGCAGTTGCAGTAATATTGCCCAGCAATAGGTACAAAGCTTGAGATGTGCCCTCAGGGGGCTTTGAGGACCATGCCCTGGACCTCACATGTCCAAGCTACTATCACAGCCCTGAGTTTCCCACTAAATATCAATATTCTATCTTGACTTCCATCACTTTTTATTTCCAGTTTCCTTGGCGACTGAAACTCAGTCCATGCAAGTTGTGACAGGAGAGTGCCCATGGCAAATGAGAAGCCATGAAGCAAATGCAATTCTTTTGACACACTGCTAGTTATTTGCCTGGGGGCACAGCTGCCTGCAGGTGCACGCAGATTCCTGGTGTGTGGAGCCCTATCTGCCTGAGTGCTGGAGCTGTCTGTGGTGCTGACCTGGCCCTCCTGCCTGCCTGGCTTCATTTCTCCTTCCTGCGCTGAAAAGCCTTTTATACCGTTTCTGTGATGGAGGTGGCCTGTGAAGTATATATCATTGGGCTCCTTATATATGCTCCAAGATCTGTTCTTCCTGCTCAAAGCCAGCCTGGACACAATTTCTGTTTTTCTTGCTTGGCAAGAGGACTCACAGAATTAGGAGAAACACCCAACCAGAAATAATAGGCCCTATTAGCTATTCACTTTTGCTTAGCAAACTAAGAAAAAGTTAATGGCTTAATCAAAGACTAGAGAAATATCTCAGCAGCTTAGAGTATGTACTGCCCTTTCAGAGGACCCAAGTGTGGTTCCCAGTACCCATGCCAAGTGGCTTACAACCACCTACAGCCCCAGATCCAGGGAGCCCATGCCCTCTTCTGCCCCCTAGGGGCAGACCTCAGATGTACCCCCATACCATGTACATGTGATTAAATATAATAAACATAGATGCTTAAAATTAGTGGTTCAAGCAATAGTGGTTTATCATGTCTTGCGTCTTGGGCCTGTGCATACAGCTAGAATCTGGTGGAGACCCCTTGGATCTTAGTTCAGCTGGGACAGTTGAGACAACTGGACCCTCTCTTTATGTGCCCTACTATATGCCTTTGCTAGGAGATGAGAATGTAAAATCGGGTAAGAAGATGATGGAGGACAGTCTGGCATGGTTGGGCAGAGTCTCCAGGGCGTAACCCGAGGACATCTGGAAAGCAAGTCTAGATATGCCCACTGGTGCAATAGTGGCACAAATGTCATGGAGTAACCAATCAACTGGATTTAATCACCTCCTTGTGGCTTATTATTGTACCCATAGATTAACACATCACTTAACCACCAATCAAAGAGCTTCTGTTTGCAGTAGACAGCAGTCAACACAGAGATCCACTGGCCCAGGTGCAGGAAATAGGAGACTGCAGAATGCTCAGCCCTAAAAGTGACATATATATACCCTACATGTCTCGTTCAAAGGTTTATAGATCATTGAAGAGGAAGAAGGGATGGAAAAGTGTAAGAAATGGATGACTATAAGGAGACAATATTTTATTTTCTGGACACAACAAGGCAGCTGCATATATGAATTCACAGTGGTTGTAACAGCATGCACGAGACCTACACAATCCCAAGCCAGACCCATCCCCAGCTAATGCACTGTTGGCAATTTTTAGCTGCTGGATGAAAAGGGGTCAATTTTCTCTCAAAGTCTAGTCCCTTATAATTGGTGACAGTCCAGTGGAAGATCACATATCCAAGAATATTTGGGCAGCACACAAACTATTAATTGATGAGAAGGGCAAACACACAAAGTTGGGTGTGAAGAGGTGATTTCTGGGAAGAGATGGGGAGACAAGTGAATAGGATAAAAAACACGGACAGGGAGCATTTGTCTAACATTGAGTCTGTGGAGACTGTCTCCCTTCTCCTCTGCACATTGGTAGTAGCATCCAACAATCCTCCAGGGGTATGCCAAAGCACCCGTGCATCTGGACCTTTCTCAATCCTTGCTGACTTCTTTCGGTTGACTGTTCCATGTGCCTGAGTTATTGATGTTTTCCTTGATGCTTTAGGGTTGCTGCGACTTATTCTCATTGAATTCCTCCTCAGCTAGACTCTGAGATCATCACATCGGGGGCACCTCGGGACTCTACAGTCCTGCAACCTGGTAAGTGCTTATTACACACTCACTGAAGAAATGAACATTGATCTAGGTGTGAAGAGGCTGTGATGGGAAGCATAGGGAGAAGGGGAGTGTAAAACGCTTCTCTTCGGGGAAATTGAGCTGCATCTCAGATGAGGGCCAGGATGCCATCAGACAGCTGCAGGAGCAGATTTCAAAACTGACTTTATAGAGATGAAAAAGTATTGACCTATTCAGAGAAGGGAAAATTGTTGCCGTGGCCAAACACAGTGGCTCTGAGACTAAAGGTGGGAGATGAAGCTAAGCAATGGTTTGGGTCTAGACAGAAAAATCATCATGGTTGAGACCACTTCTTAAACCCTCCTGAGACCAAGACTGCCTCACATCTTCCATCTGCGGCTGAGCAAAGGTCTAGACAGACAAAACCTGATCACCATGCTGTGTGTTAATTGAATAAGTAATGAGACTTGGGAAAGGAAGGGCTTTGCAATCAGCCTCCTTCTCATTTGCCACTGAATACTCATTAGCCAGTTGTGAACCCTAGAGAACAGAGGTCATGTTGAATGACAGCAACCAAGCACCTTTCTTAGGCATTTGTCATAATTTACACGAAGATGTGAATGTAATTATGTAGATCAGATTCACTTCCCCTGACAAATTTGTACATCGAGTCAAGTAAATTTCCTACCATTAAAATCACAGCATTTGGGGACTGCACTATTTCTCAGCCAACAACTAGATCCTGGAAGAAAAAAAGGAAAAAAGACAAGAGTGTGTGCCCAGCAGGACATGTGGGTGTCAGGAGAAGAAGTTATAAGAGTGTGTTTGGAGCTCAAGCACCTAACAGCTCCTCAGAGCCTCTTGAATTCACAGCACATGGCACTTCTTGGCCAGCACAAAACCCATAACCTTTGCCAAATATTGCATTCCCTGTGTAGTCTGGAAAACAGAAAGAGCATCTACAAGAAGGTGTTTTTCAGGATGGACGCAGGTGCTTCAGAAGACCCCGATTTCACCTAGGAAGGAAAAGAAGGATGCTGGTGTCTGCACTGGACCACTGCTGGGCATCCACACATGTACAGAGCCTTGAGCAAGAGGGCAGAGTGAGCTGTAGACATCTCCATAACTCTCACTTCTTCTGCCTGGGATTTAACACAATTCATTTATACAACTCACAGAAGAAAGCAAGGATGCAGGGTATGTCGCAATGCCTGTTAGAACTCCCAGGATTACCACTGTTCCTTGTGTGTGGTAAGCACAGATAAAGGAATGTGCCGCGGCTAAACTGCCTCATGAAATAGATTGGTTTTTAAAGCCAGGGATTATTGGGAGAGAAACAAGAACCGATTCAAAGATATTGAAAGCCATGCTAGTCAGATTTGGCTGGAATTCAATTGCAGATAACAAGACAACCAGGAAATAATTTTATAGCAGTTGGGGTTCTTTTAGTTGCATATGGCTGGATCCTGGCTCTTAACAGATTAGAAAGAAAGGAAGGCAGCGCTTCACCCATGTAATACCTAGGAAGGTTCATGTATGATGATCAATCTTGGCTGGGTCTAGGAGCTTCAATGGTGTCGTCCAGGCTTTCCGTTCAATTTCTCTTCTTGCATTTTTGTTCCTCAAGAAGTTTCTACATGTGGTAGCATCCAGGACCCCCAGCCTTGCTTCTCAACTGAGCCACCCAGGGGGAAAAGTGTCTCTCCCCTGATTGATCAGTTACCTGTTGCCAAGAAGCAGACCGACCCAGAGCTCTGAAAGAATATCTGTTTTCTCCCCACAACTCTGTGGATGAGCAGTTCAAGCCAAGCTCTTCTGGGCAGCCCTTTTCACCCATGCATCAGCCCTTGAATTCAGTCAGGCAGTTAAGCAAAGTCATGTAAGAGTGTTTGGTCACAAATGTCTTCATTCGGTTGCAGTGTCCTCTATGGGAATGGCTAAGACAATGGAGCTGTCTATCTATGTGACCTCTCTCTGCAGGAAAGGTTTTGTTGTTGTTTATTGGTTATTTGCTTTTTATTTTTCACCAAGCCTGGCCTT